TATTGTGCAATCATGTTGGAAAACAATCTAGCATTATCTAGGGTAAAGTTGAAGATAAGCAAAACCCCTGTCACAACAATTCCATTTTTAGGTATGTATCCTTGGGCCGGCCCGGTGGCGCACTGCGCTAGTGCGCTGCTTGGGAAGCACGGCAACTTGTGCGGAGGACCTGGGGCCGCGATGCGGGGCGGCTGGTAAGCAGGTTTGAGTAGCTCTGAGGCCGGGACGGAGTGGTCGGTGCAGGGTCGTCCAGCAGTGGTGTGTTACTTTCTCCCCCGAGTGCCGCGCGTCTAGGGCACGCGTAACGGAGAGGCGGAGGAATGCACGCAGAACGAGCAGGGCAGGTGGCGAGCCCACCCGTCGGGAGACCCACTCCCTGCCCTTCCCTGGGCGCGCTTCTGCCCTCTCTACACCTCGAGGCACGACGAGCTTTTCTCCTCCTTGGCATTTTTATAGGCGCTGGGGATACAGAGCTATATTCATTCAGCATTTATTGAGCACCCACGGTGTGCCAGACACTGGTTATACGACAGTCCAGAGAAAGAGACCGGTCAAGCAAAGAATAGCACCACGGGTCATTGCCTCCGAGGGACTGAGGGGCTTGACTCTCACTCTTTATCCTGTACTTCTCTCCCGTGTTCGCACCACTTATTCCAACATCACCCAGGCTACAACCCACCACCATTTCTCCTGCAATGACCCCTCTTTCACATAGTCTTTTATCACCAAGCGCTGACACATGTCAGTAATGATACCGTTTCACCCTGTTTGCGTGTTTTTCTTCATGGACCACCATGCTCCCCTTTCCCTCGATGTTCCTGCGACGTTCGACCCCTGAGCTTACAAAACTTCCAAGAGTCTCCTGTGTACCAGGTACTGTGCTAGGCACTGGGGATGCAAATGTAAGACAGACAGATACCATCCCTTCCCTCCCAGAGACTGCAACATTGTGGAGGACGACAGGGGAGAGAAAGGTAGAATTACAACCCTGCAATGAGAAGTGCTAGGATGGGGGGCCGGCCTGTGGCTCACTCGGGAGAGTGCGGTGCTGATAACACCAAGGCCACGGGTTCGGATCCCATATAGGGATGGCCGGTTAGCTCACTGGGTGAGCGTGGTGCTGACAACACCAAGTCAAGGGTTAAGATCCCCTTACCGGTCATCTTTAAAAAAAAAAAGTGCTAGGATGGGACAAGTGCATAGAGCTACAGGAACATATAGGTGTGGACATCCGGGGTGGTCATGGGAGTCAGAGAGGAGTTCTCAGAGGATACTGTATAACTTGAGTTTGTGAAGGATAAGTAGGGGGTAACCAGAAGAAGAGGGCTCTTCTCAGCAGCCCCTTACTAAGCATTGGCCTCCTTTCTGAGAACTCTTCATTCTTGGCTTCTGTGACACCGCTTCCCAATATTCTTTCTACATCTTTGACCACTTTGTCCCAATGTCCTCTTTCCCTACTCAACTTTTATTTTCTTTTGGTGGCTGTCCATTATGGGGATCTGAACTCAAACTCTTCTTGACCTCGCTTTTTTTTTTTTTTTTTTTTTAAAAGATGACCGGTAAGGGGATCTCAACGCTTGGCTTGGTGTTGTCAGCACCACGCTCAGCCAGTGAGCGAACCGGCCATCCCTATATAGGATCCGAACCCGTGGCCTTGGTGTTATCAGCACCGCACTCTACCGAGTGAGCCACGGGCCGGCCCTTGACCTCGCTTTTTTAACACCGTACTCTAATCAAGTGAGCTAATCATTCAGACCCCTACCAAACTTCTAAATATTGGTGTTTGTAAGGGCCTTGACTTTGGCCCTCTGCACTTTTCCTGTTTCTTGGGTTATCTCACCCACTTCTTTGCATGTAGTTACCATCTATGCTGATGATTTTCTAAAGTTCCCCAGTTTTCCAACCAGGTCTACTCCAGACCCATATATCCTACTATCCTGGAAATCTCCAATTTCATTTACATGTGGTGTTTTTCAGCTGCTAGTAATAAAAACCCAACCACTAAATAGGAAATTAAGTATCCATGTATACAGAGCATCCCAATATTAGATGGCAGCTGTCATTGATCAAGTGTCTCATTGTTATCAGGGTTGTCATTTAAGCAGTTAATCTGGCCTTTCCCTCGTAATCACAAGAAGGCTGCTACAACTTACTCCATATTCAAGACAAGGAGGAGGAAAGGGTGTACCAGGCAGACTCACTGGCTTGAACTGTGTGACATAGCTACAGCTAGCAAAAGGAAGCTTGAAAAAGCCAAACTTTATCTCACAGTGTCTGCCATAATGTCTCAAAGCACATCAGACTCTCTGGACTTAAGAACCAAACCCTCAAACCTGTGTCTCTTGATTTAGCCTGTAATACTCTCTGAAAAAAATCCAGTCACTATTCTCTATCCCACCCTCAACTGCAGGCATCCAAATACTTCCTAATTGTATTTTCTATCTCCAATCTTGCACCTTCCCAGCCAATCCTTTTTTGGTGTTTTTTTTGTTTTTGTTTTTTGTTTGTTTGTTATGCTTTGTTTTTTTGTGGCTGGCCAGTACAGGGATCAAACACTGGATTTTGGTATTACCAGCACCATGCTCTAACCAACTGAGTTAACCAGCCAGCCTCCAACCCATTCTTTGTAGTGTAGCCAGTGTGATCTTACATAGTAAGACACTCATTTGATAATGTGATCTTCTTGCTTAAAGCTGCGCTCAGGGCCGGCCCGGTGGCACACTGGAGAGTGCGCCGCTTGGGAGTGCAGCGGCGCTCCCGCCGAGGGTTCGGATCCCATGTGGAGACCGGTTCCCGCTCACTGGCTGAGCGCGGTGCGGGCGCAACACCGAGGGTTGCAATCCCGTTGCCGGTCCCCAGTAGGGGCGCGACACCGAGGGTTGCGATCCCGTTACCAGTCAGTAAAAAAGACAAAAAGGAAAAAAAAAAAAAGCTGCGCTCAGCAAAATGCCTGAAAGTTCAAATCACTATGAGGCAATTTATGATCTGGACCTTTCAATCTCTCAGGCTTCATTCTTTACTGAAACTTCCCCACCTCAACCCTGACTCTGACATTCTCCATACTTACTCCACACTAAACTACACTAGAACTCTGTTGAACAACTTGAGTTAATTGAGCAAACACTTTCTCTTGACTCCGGACCTTTGCACATGTATTTCCTCTGCTTTAAAGACTCTTGCCAGGGCCGGCCTGTGGCTCACTCGGTAGAATGTGGTGCTGATAACACCAAGGCCATGGGTTCGGATCCCATATAGGGATGGCCAGTTTGCTCACTGGCTGAGCGTGGTGCTGACAACACCAAGTCAAGGGTTAAGATCCCCTTACTGGTCATCTTTAAAAAAAAAAAAGACTCTTGCCTTACTCCCCTATGGCCTTATCTGCAATATATCTCATCCCTTGGGTTACTCCTACTCATACCTACAGTCATACCTCAACATAACTTTCTCCAGCTAGGTTCCCTTTCGGTTCCCTTAACACACTATTTTCTCTGCTGTAGCACTGTGTTATAATGACTTCTATCTCTCACTGAGTTGTACATTCCATAACAGAAGTTTTTGTGTCTATTTTGTTCTCTACATAATCCCAAGTGCCTGGCACAGTGTAGGCACTCATAAATATTTGTTGAATGACTCAGTAAAAAGTCTGTTTTTTCATCTTTTATAAAAAGTTATAAGTAACAAGAGCTCTTGCCACATCTATAGTAAATTAAGATGGCCTTATTATGTTGATTTTACACTTCCCTGGGACATCATGCTTTTGCTTCTGTTTTGATGGCTGGCCAGTACTGGGGTTCGAACCCTTGACCTTGGTGTTATCACCACCTCCTGTAAACCTGGATATTTTTGAATGCAAAAGTGGCGTTAATAATAACCTTGAGTCACTAGGGGAAAACTGGGATTACCTTAGGCGAATTAGGACTGACTGTTCCTATGATACTTTAAGTGTCTTTAAGTATTGTTCATGGGTGAATTCAGAGTTGCCTCAATTATAAAATACAGTGGTGTGCCGCGTAATGGTGTTTTGTCCCATAAGATTATTATGAAGCTGAAAAATTCCTATCACCTAGTAAGTCATAGCTGCTGTAACATTGTAGCACAATTACTTTTTTTACAATATAAATTTAGCATATCCTAAGTACAGCGTTTATAAAGTCTACAGTTGTGTACAGTAATGTCCTAAGCCTTCACATTCACCCACCACTCACCCACTGACTCACCCAGAGCAACTTCCAGTCCTGTAAGCTCCATTCATGGTTAAGTGCCTTATACAGGTGTACCATTTTTTATCTTTTATACTGTATTTTTACTGTACCTTTTCTATGTTTGTTGCTTTGCCTCCCACGGATTTGTCACCCCGTTTCCCCTGGGTGACGGAGCCACAAAGGATTACTCAAAGCCCATCTCTTCTGAGCAGTGAGAAGCCCCGAAGTGGTTAATCTCCCAGAACCATCAAGAGAGAGGCATTCCTTTCATTTGGGAAATTAACCATGAATTGGGGTTATTCTGGCATTTATTCTCCAGACCAGGAAGTTACAGGAAGAGAACATAGGTGGGGTTATAGTTTAACAGTATAGGCTGATAACATTAAGTAAAACAAGCCAGATGACATTCCATAAGGCAATTTAAGTGATCCACCAACAAAAGCTTGATCTTAGCAAACATTCTTTCTCCTGACAGCAGCTTCCCAGTATCTTTACATATCAATCAGTAACTTGTGTGTCTGAACCAGCAGCCTTGCTTTGTTACAATTCTTTATCTTACAACAGAGACTATATAGCCTGGGGAAATTTTTCTGTTTTTTGCAAGGTCAACATTTTATATGTACTTTTAAGAAGTTAGACTAAACCTGAAAGTACAAGAAACTAGGCCCTGTGAAATATATTTGCTTTATAGTATACTCCATAATGTTTAGATATGTTTAGTTACACACATGCTTACCATTGTGTTACAATTGCCTGTAGTATTCAGTACAGTAACATGCTATTCAGGTTTGTAGCCTAGGTGTGGTAAGCTATATCATCTTGGTTTGTGTAAGTACACTCTGTGATGTTTGCATGACAAAATCGCATAAGAACTTATTTCTCTGAACACATCCCTGTTTAGTGACACTGTACTTCAAAACTTTCATTTACTGTCTCTAAATTTTATGTCTGATGAAGCGTTATTTACTCCTTTGAGAGCCAGGGTTATGGGAGTTGGAGAAAGAGAAGAACCAATAAAATGGGGGTTTTTGGGAAAGAGAATTTTTCACTACCTGCTGTTTTATTTGTTCCTTTTTTTTTTTTTTTGGCAGCTGGCAGGTAGGGGGATCCAAACCCCTGACTTCAGTGTTAAAAGTCACACTCGGGCCAACTGAGCTAACTGGACAGCCCCTGCTAAGTTTTAAGTTATCAATTTTAATCATTTTATTTTTTATTTATTTATTTATTTTTTAAAAGATGACCGGTAAGGGGATCTTAACCCTTGACTTGGTGTTGTCAGCACCACGCTCACCCAGTGAGCTAACCGGCCATCCCTATGTGGGATCCGAACCCGTGGCCTTGGTGTTATTAGCACTGCACTCTACCGAGTGAGCCCCAGGCCGGCCCAATTTTAATCATTTTATTTTTTATTTATTTATTTATTTTTTAAAAGATGACCGGTAAGGGGATCTTAACCCTTGACTTGGTGTTGTCAGCACCACGCTCACCCAGTGAGCTAACCGGCCATCCCTATGTGGGATCCGAACCCGTGGCCTTGGTGTTATTAGCACTGCACTCTACCGAGTGAGCCACGGGCCGGCCCAATTTTAATCATTTTAGTTAGAGTTTATGTTTCTTCGGTTTTAATGTTGATAAGAATAAAATATAGATATCGTAAAGATTAGTTGATTTAGGATGATCTCTTTAAAGTAAAACTAACATTCATGATTTAAGATTATTCATATTTTAGGAAAGGGATCTTCAGTTTTTCTTCATGTTCAGAAATCAGTAACAGCTTGGAAATTAAAGTGAAAAATCACTTAAGAATTTAAATGTATTGTTCCTATCAGTAAACCAAACTTTTGGTTTTATATTATTTGCTATCAGAAAAAAGAACAAAATTCTTGTTTATAAATATTAAAACATGACTGTAATACATAGAATAATGTGTGCTAGAACATAACTTTAAAATTTTAAGGGCTAAAAAAAAAGTAAGTTTTTTTTTTTTTAAAGATGACCAGTTAAGGGGATCTTAACTCTTGACATGGTGTTGTCAACACCACGCTCAGCCGGTGAGCAAACTGGCCATCCCTATATAGGATCCGAACCCGGGGCCTTGGTGTTATCAGCGCTGCACTCTCCCGAGTGAGCCACAGGCCGGCCCTAAAAAAATACATTTTAAGGGCTAAGTGCCATTAACCAATAAGATGTAACTTTTTTTTAAAAAAGTGACTCTCTACTACATAAATGAAAAAATTTCAAATATATATCAGTATTCTCAGACATTCTAAGAAGGTTAGAAATTTCTGTAGTTTATGTTTAAAGTGTGAAGTAGTTAATCAGGTGTTAATAACATTGAAAAAAAATTTTTTTTTCTTTTTTTTTGGCAGCTAGCCTGTAGAGGGATCCAAACCTTTGACTTTGGTGTTACAACACCAGGTTCTAACCAACTGAGCTAACTGGCCAGCTCCCTAATAACACTGAAATACTAACTTTCAAAATAAAACATTTTGGGCCAGCCCGTGGCTCACTTGGGAGAGTGTGGTGCTGATAATACCAAGGCCACAGGTTCAGATCCCAATATGGAGATGGCCGGGTAGCTCATGTGGGAGAGTGTGGTGCTGACAACACCAAGGGTTAAGATCCCCTCACTGGTCATCTTTTTTTAAAAACAAAAAACAAAGTAAAACATTTTGCCTTTCAGACACTTAGGTTTTTATGTAGCCAGTTGAATAATTTCTTTAACATGTTATCTTGTGTTATACTGAGATTTAACTTTTTTATATGATGCTTTTTTTTTTTTATTGGTGGCTGGCCGGTAACAGAGATCAAACCATGGACCTTGGTGGTATTAGCACCACTGTTCTAAACAATGCTGTAACCAATTGAGTTAACCAGCCAGTCCTAGGCGTCTTTAGATACTAACAATAACTTTAGAATTCTTTAGTAGTCTTATCTCAGGAAGTCATATGACTTAAGCATACTTAGAAGCTGATGTGTTTATACAGAATTCACTGTTAAATTTTTTTTTAACTTTTATAAGGAATCTTGGGCAAGGACCATAAACATATGCACAAATCTGAACTATAGGATATAATATTACTAAACAAAAGAACAAAATGTTCTCTGTGTGCTAGGATTTGAGTTCCTGTGATTTCTTAAACAAATATTTAAGAAAATAACCATCTTCATAAACTTGATTGTCACTGCTGCCAAGTATTCTGGTTTCTGCCTCGATAATTTCATGTTTATATTGTGATAATGATTGTTCTACTTCTTAAATAGAATTGAAATTCAATACATGATTAAAGAGACAAGGCATTAAGATCATTTATAAATGCTTTTACGTTTTATTTTCTCATCTGTAGATTTGTGTTCGCTATTTTCAAACATGCACAAATGTTTATGTTTTGAAGCCAAAATGTGTGTGTGTCTTCGGCTATCCTTCACTCAAGTATAGTCATCCACATTCCTTGCTCAAAACAACTGCTGGTAAGTATGATCTTAAGCCAGCATATATAAAATCATATTTTGTACCTTAATCAATACTTTTTTTTTTTAGTAATTGAAGACTTATCAAAGTAAAAAAGATTGACCCTATATTTCTATCCTGGCTCTCCCTGCATCTATTTCCCGTTTTCTTTTTTCTCACTCTCTACTTCACATACTTCCCTTAAAACTGTGTCTTCATAATGTTGGGATTGGGTTGTGTTGGGCCATTTACCTTTTATTTTTATTGCTGGCTGGTATAGGAATCAACCCCCCTGACTTTGGTGTTATCAGCACCATGCTCTAACCATCGGACTCATCTAAGTACAATAGTTAGCCTTCTCAGTTAAAGTAAATTGTTGGCTTAGTAGGAGTATCTTTGTGTCCTTGTACACTATACTATTGTTTGTTGGGTGAAGCACTTAATCTGTCATGTTAAGATGGTGTAATGAAACCAGCATCACGTGCTCCTAAATAGAAAGTTCCCTGGCTTTTACCATTTTCTTACCTGTCCCCCATCATTTTTAAAGCTCTGTAAAAAACTTGAGGACTTAAGTATTAGATTTGGCAGGGGCACAAGGACTTTTTCCCCTGACATTCTATTCAGAACCTTCATAAAGAATCCTAGATTTTGTTATATCATTTAAACTTTTGACAGATCTGTGGGGCCTCAGTCTGGGCTAGCAATGAAAAATAGGGGAATTCCAGGCAGACCCCACCCTTGAGTTCAGTCAGTCCTTCCATTCTTTTTATATGTCAGCCTAAGATATGTAAACCTTACCTTCACTACTTTTTAAATGAGATTTCTATTATTAAAAGTTGATCTTTTTGGGGGCCGGCCCGTGGCTCACTCGGGAGAGTGTGGTGCTGATAACACCAAGGCCACAGGTTCGGATCCCATATAGGGATGGCCGGTTAGCTCACTCGGTAAGCGTGGTGCTGACAACACCAAGTCAAGGGTTAAGATCCCCTTACCGGTCATCTTTTAAAAAAAAAAAAAAAAAAAAGTTGATTTTTTTTTTTTTTTTTTTTTTTTTTTT